CAAAACTGGACACTTCTTACAGGTCAGGCACTGTGCCTGGTGAGGAATATGCAAGAAGTACTTAATTTTTACTATTCTACCTTAACACAGACAGGGGCATTTAATGTCACTATAAGCTTCAAAAGCCAAAACTCTGGGGCCAAACTTAAGCCTATCATGTCTTATAACAGTCATGCTGCTGTCCTCAGACAATGTTTTATGGCACCTTCTTACCACTGAATAGTGTATAACTGAACGTTTATGGAGTACCAACAATTAATAGACAATCTTAGACAAATGGGAAAGATATTTTTTACTTGGAATTTAACAAAGGCTTTCTTATATAACCAAAACCTTCCATTTCGTTAGCTACACCTCAAAAATAATGTATTCTTTCCTTTACTGGGTAAAACCACCACATAAGAATCCTGCTTTTTAGATCCACACACATTCCTAGACGAGCAGAGGATCACTATTGGAAAATCCTAACTGCCTCTACTGTCCAAAAGAGAGTTAATTTGTAATATTATCAGTTATTTTGGCATCAAAGCCTGAATGAGGTAGGTGACATTTAATGTGGACTAGGGACTTGACTGGATTGAGAGGCACCTAGTGGTTAGTAAAGCACAGCATTTATATGTATCTGTGAGGTGTTTCCAGAGAGGACTAAGGCCAGGAGACCTCCCTGAATGTGCTGGGGGCCCAGATGAAACAAAGGGGGAAGGAAAAGCAAGCTTGGGAGAGCACGCATTCATTCACATTCACCTCTCTTCTCTCTTTTCTCTCCTCCCACTCCTCTCTTTTTTTCTCCTTCTACTCCCTGTCCGTCAGTTCCTCCCCGCCCCCCCCCCCCTGGATTCCATGATGTGCACTGTCCTGTCCTGCCATGCCATCTCTGCCATGCAGAACTAAAACTGTGAGCCAAAAAAAATCCTTTCTCCCTTAAGTTGTTTCTGTCAGGTATTCTGTCATAGCAATAGAAAGCTAACTAACACATCACCTGAAACACAAATGAAACCCCAATGAGTGGATCACTAGAACCATGCATACTCATCTTACTAAAGCTTTTCCATTATGCCTGAGGCTTTTACACAGTTTCTCTACAATAGCATGTGAAAAATGTCTCCCTATCATCTGTAAAATGTGAAACATTTTCTCCATACATCGTTAATGTTATTTTATGTAAGAATCCAGGTGATTAATTATCTTTGTAACAGAAATAAATGTCTGCTTCTCCTGGCTAATTGGTATACTTCCTTTCATTAATCAATGCCAACTATAATTAGTCCTATTTCCTCTTTCACTTTGGCAAATTTCTAAAAAACAACAAATTTAGTTAAAGCAGGCCTGAGTTATCCTTGCTCTCAGCTCCTCACCTAATTCTCTCCCTCCACACTCTATCCACACCAATCTGCACCATTATTTTCAGTCTTCTAAAACACCAACTTATTATTATAAGAACATCTTAAATTCTTTCTCAAAGTAGATGGATTATAAATTATTAAGTAAATGTTTGCCTCTGCACAGAATATTCTAACACTAGAGTTTCTTTAGCAGAAATGAGTAAGAACTGAAAACCAGATTTGGTAAACATCAAAGAATCAGAAAATAAGGACTAAAAAGTCCAAAGCCCCACAGTTAGCTAAAGAGGTAGAATATTAAGGAAATAAGGCTGCCTCTGAAGATTATAGTGTAGTTTAGGAAGTCCTAAATGCATAGTGAAGAAAACATTGCAAAGAAGTCAGTAAATAAGAGCTAGTATTACTGCACATGCATTTGTTGGCTTTCAGGATAAGCTAAACTCTTGACTGCCCAAAAAAGCAGAACACAAAGTAAACAAAGTAAATCACTTGGCTCCAACTTTCTATTTATACAAGCTAAACAGAGACATTAGCAGCATCTTCCTACGGCATTCAACGGAGCACATCACTCTATATTTGATCCACTGAATGAAGGTGGTTATGTAAGTACCTTCGTTCCATGCTGTGAAAGGAACCAAGATCATCAATATGAAAAATTCCTGGGTTTCAAAAAGATATAAGCCTTTACCTACACTCAGGAACCGTTGGTAGGAAATTAAGCGTCTACAAGAATTTTGAGAAAACTTGTATTGCAATAAATCCCGAATCTAGTGTTTGATGATCAAGGAACAATTTGACCATATTGGGTATATACTGCAAAAAAAGGAATAGCAGGGGCTAGACTAGATATTTATATACCTATGCTCAAAATAGCATTATTCATAGTAGTCAAATATGCCCCTCCACCTTCAGTGGGGTTATGAATCTATAAGCCCATAGTAAATTGAAGGTATAGTATTTAACATACCTGCTCTAGCAAACAACCAGGCTTTTACTCTTTTTGACCCTTGTGATCATGTGGCTGGCAGGACATACTGCTAGCCCAGGAAAAGATCAAAATTAAAAATTTCTGTAGAAACTCAAACTCAAGTTTCTACAGAATGTGTATTGCTTTCACACCATCTTACAAATGAATTTTTTTAAGTCAAACGATCATAATCTGGGGACCATCTATATACAATGGAATGATTCAGTCTTAAGAAGGAAATTAATATACGAAATGACATAAATGAATTCTAAAGACACTATGCTAAGTGAAATAAGCCAGACAAAAAAGGACAATATTGTATGATTCCACTTAAAGTTTCTAGTGACCAAATTCACAGAGAAAGAAAGCAGAATGGTTGTAATAGGGTGGAGGGAGGGTGGAATGTGGCATTAGTGTTTAAATGGGTAGAGTTTCAATTAGGGAACACGAAAAGGTTTGATAATTGATGGTGGCAATAGTTGCAAAACATGACTGTACTCAATGCAACTGAACTGTACACCTAAAATAACTAAAATTATAAATGTATAAATACTTTACCATGTTAAAAAGAAGCAATTTGAAATACTCAGATAAGCAGAAGCCATCAGAACATTCAAGGTTAGACAGCGCTTCATGCACTCCGTGAGTGTTAACTAAGGACCTATTACTACACAGTATACAGACTTTCCCTAAAGCCCACTTGGAGCAGTGATGCAATGCAGGCAGCATGCATGAAAGGACTCTGACATCAAACCATGACTCAATCCCCCTCTGCCACATCTAGATTCACAACTCAAGGCAATAACCCAAGTCTTATCTTATTTGTCTGTAAAATGAGGACAAGACTGTGTTTGTTACAGTGAGGATTAAGTGAGAATGTGTTTGTCTGTAAAGAATCTGACGTGTTAGCACATACTATTGAAGCAATTAATGTTTTCCTTATCTCCTTTGCCTCAGCTAAGGATGTTAAGGACACAAGTGAACCATGGCTATGAAACACCTACTTTCTTAAATCAAACAAGCATCTTACAGCATCACAGTGGTAGAGAATAAAATATCTTGATGCCAAAAAAGGTATCCTCCCTAGAAAGTGGAACTACAAATACCACCCATTACATAACACCACAAAATCACTATCAAGTAGAAATCATAAACCACATCAAAATAACCAAGTCAATAAAACTCAACAATAGCAAAACAACCCAGCTATACAATTAATCCACAGATCTACAGACAGCATACAGTATCAGAATGTGCCTTTAATGATGGGATGACAGCATAGGAAATAAAGGAAACCTTTACTAATTTCAAAATTATTAAAAATTAAAATTGACTAATTCAGCTATTCTTAAAACAGTATTTTAGTGGCATGAAAAAAAGCTACAAACAAGCTACCATTATCAATGCTTGCAACAGATAACCATATTAAAAGCAATCTTAAGAGTTTTATCTGACAGTTTTACAAAACATGCTCTAACATGAAGTTTAGAGTTAATGTATTTATGAGCATGTATAGTGCATGTTACATATAACATACATGGTGCCACAGGGAGCTTTAAAGAAGACAACACAAAACAAACGGATTATTCCAGAATCCAGTTTCCAAAGATATTAATAATACTGAAAGTTACTATTCATTAGGAGGCTCATCCAGATCAATTCATCTTTTAATAAATTACTCAAGTGCTTGGTTAGGGCGGACATTTTTACTTAGAAAAGTTAACGTTTAATACTAACACATTTCCAACTTAGTTGATCATTTTTTTTCTTTTTTAAAGCACATTTTCGGAAAACATTTTCCAAGTTATGAAACTCCTCACTGGAGCCCTTTTCTGCTGACGGTGGACTGCACTTGCTCCAGGGAGACAAATGACAGGAGTGTACAAATCAGAAACCTTAGACAGAAGCAGGGCCTCCCAGGGAGTCCTCCTCCATCAGAAGGCTTTCAAGACCTGATCGTGGGCCAATCCTTAGGGCTTCTCTGTGCCGATCAGCAACTCATCTTTAACCACAACTTTCCTTCCCAAAGCCACGACTGACCAGTGCATAGCAAGGACTCCCCACTCATGGGCCCTTGCCCATTTTCAAGTCCCCAGCTGTCCTGCATGCATAGCCGGCGACACAGCTCAGCTGTGGACACCCCACTGCAATCTGATGGGCTACCCCAAATTATGGGGATAGCACATGCGCTGGATCGAGGCATTCTGGACCCAGAAGCATCTAAAGAGAGAGGCTAAAAGATGGCCTCGGCCACCCGCCCCCCTGAGGCCGGATCTGGTCACCTGCCAATAAACAAACACACTTGATCCTTCCAGGGAGGGACCCCAAGCTCGCGTGGACACCGTCGGTAATCGGCACCACCTTCGTACGCAGAACCAGACCTGTCAAAAGCGGGGATGCTCGCGGGGCGAGGTGGCAGTGAGGACGCGGTTCCCTCGGTGCGGGAGGAGGGGCGCGGGGCAGAGCCCGTCGGGGCCGCCCGGTGACCCGGGCCCGCAAGGCGGGAGCAGGCAGGCCGCGCCATCTGCCCTCCGGGGCTCCGAGTCGCGGCCTGCGGCAGGCCCGGCGCGCCGCGCGGCCTTGGGCGCCCACGCGGGGCCTGGCGCGCACGTAGGCGGGACGCGGCCCGAGCGGAGAGGAGCCGCCCCCGCCCCGCACACAAAGCGGCCCACACAGGCGGGAGCCCGCCTCACCTGCAGCACGGGGCGCCGCGGGCCTTCCAGAACCATCGGACCCCGCTCCGGCGCGCGCGTCACAGCCCAGGCCTCCCGGTGCCACCCGGCGCCGCCGCCGCCGCCGCCATTTCCTGCCGCTCGCCGTCGCCTCGTTCCCGCTGTCAGGTTACTCCATTCACCTGGGCCTCGGAGCAGCCTGCGCCGCGCCGCGCTGCGCCTCCCGACCCCTCCCGCCGGCGCCTGCGGAGACTGCGCAGCGCCCGGCTCACCCCGCAGCCCGCGCACGGCCCGCGGCAACGGCGCACAGCCGCTTGGAGAATCCCACCCGCGCCGCGCCGCCGCTCCGCGCCCCCACGCTCCGCTCGCCCCGCGGCCGCATGAGAGCGGGCCTGTGATTGGACAGAGCCTGGCGGTGAAAGGTTAATCCCGGCCCGCCGGCCACTCAGGAGCTAGGAGACAGCGGGCGCGGGCCTGGCGGCCGAGGTTGCGTTTGCGGCCCAGCGCCGAGGCTCAGCTTCGTAGCTCGGCCACCGCTTGTGCGTCTTAGGCTGTCCTCACGCGGTTCGCGGCCGGGCCGCTGGCCTAGCGGAGTCTCCGACTCTCGGAGCTCTCCCGCCTCCATCGTGGTACCTTTGGTACCCACCGCCCGCCCGCTCCACGAGGCCCTTCCCCGGTGCTAATTGTTCTCGCGGAGCTCGGCCCTGTGACCACCCCTCCCCTCCCTTCTCAAAGGACTTCCGAGTCACTGCTGTCCCTGCGTTAGCGGTGGGCAGCTTCCGCACTTAGGGAGATAAACATCCCCAGAACTTGGGGAACCAGATGAAGAATGAGCAGTGTCTCCCCCCGCCCCGATCCCCCTCCATCCTCCCCGCCCCCCCCCACTTGCAAATGTTGATTTGCATGGGTCGGAAGCGCAGCCGCTTCTTGTAGCCAGCTGTGAGTTGAAGTATCCGTGGACGTGAAGTGGCTGGCGTAAAGAAACCCGCCTTGATTAATCTCCAAATGTAGGCATCCCTTCCAGGAGGCCCCCCCTGAGAGGCGGCTGTGCCCCAGGTGAGGAAGGGCACCCGCCGCCGGGCTCCTCCTGCACGCGACAGTCAGCATCAGGCACCTGCTGCTGTGAGTATTGCTTGGCCACGGAGCGCTTCAATGTAGCTAGCTAGTGGATTTCCGAAAGGCATGCCGAAGATCTCACTAAAAACTATATTGTTGCAAGATGAAGAGATATTGTTGGTGTGTTGGGGTAATTGCTGGCTTCATTTGTTTCTTTTTATTTTTCTAGTGTGAGTACTTTGAGCTCCATGAAGAAACTGAGTAACTTCCAGCCAGTCGGCAGCTACTCAGTGAATAATTGAGATTTGCACCTTAATCTGGCTTTGGGATCGGTGTGCTCAGTCACTGCTGTGCTCAGATTTTGGTCATTTGTTTATCCTAAATTGGCTTGATGTTTCAACTAGCTTCACAATCATCATGGGCAAAAGTAAGACGCCAGAATGCTTTTGGCAGGCCTGCATATTCAAAACCTGACGTTTCTTACATGTCAAGCCCTGTGAGCAATAGGATCCCCCAGCAAATATGTAAAAGGTTTTTGGAGATAATCCATAAAGTGTAGGGGTGCACTGGGGTACACTGGCAGTGGAAATGTGTGGGCAAGTACAACTGTCAACCCCTCCCTCCAGGGTCTTTCAAGACCAACTGGGCTTCTCTGTTAGTAGGTTTTTCTGATCGTCAATGATTGCTTACTTTCAAAATATGTAGTACATACATATGGTTCATCTCTCAAGAAAACATAATCCCCCCCCAAAAAAAAATCCCAAATGCTATAATTCTGAATGTTGAAGTCACAAAAGATCAAAATTGCCTAAAGTCTAAAAATCCCAAAAGATCCAAGTTCAAAAAATATAATTCTGGAAAGATAATTTTTAAAATTTGAAAGACATTTATTTACATTCTTAAAAGAAATTTGTTTGATAAACATGAAAACCCATGAGAATATGTCATAGGTCACTTTACATAGTAAAATAGGCAATAATAGCACACGTATTTTTGCAAGCATAAGCCCTCAAATACTAACACCAGTTGCACAGCCATACCAGTTGTCGGAGATTATATATTCATTAAAAAATAGATCAAAAAGTGAAATGTACAAAATGAATGTCACTGTGGTTGGTAAATGTGTGCACACCAGCTTTATAACTTCAGTCATCTGAAATATCAGGAGGCCAAAGAAACAAAGTTTTTCATGAGATGGCTCAAAAACAACAATGGAGCTGGGCACCATGGCCCAAGCCTATAATTTCAGTTACTCAGGAGGCAGAGATTGGGAGATTTTCGGTTTTGCCCAGGCAAGAGTGGGCAAAAAATTTGCAAGATCCCATCTCAACCAATAAAAAGTGTACAGCATCTGTCATCCCAGCTACACGGCATAAACTCAAAACCCCACCTCAAAAGTAGCCAAAGTAAAAAGGTTTGGGAGCATGGCTCAAGTGGTAGAGTATATATCTAGCAAGCCTGGGGCCCTGAGTTCAAACCCCAGTATTGCCAAAAAACAGCCAACTGCAATGGGGCCAGATGTGGTGGCACACATCTGTAATTTCAGCACTTGGAGAGTCTGAGGCAAGAGAATCACAAGGTAGAGGCCAGCCTGAGCCACATAGCTACCTAATGAGTTTGAGGCTAGCCTGGGCTACACAAGGCGACCCTGTCATTTTAAAAAAGAAAAGAAAACTACAATACAACTGCATATGCAGTCACCCAAAAGCTAAAATCTCAAGAAACGTTATCTTCAACAAATGCAGCTATATGAAAAGAATCTCAGACTCGCCCACACCTCCTCCAGAAACACCTCCCCGACGTGCCTAGTTCTCCATTTTTATTCTCCCTCACATGATGCACCTATCCTGTGAACAACCAAAATGCACCAATCTCTTCCCCAGCATTTGGCTCTCTAGTCCTCTTACACAGCCTTTTCCCAGTGGACACTACAATTTTCAGAATCTCAACATTCAGGATCTTTTGGGATTGTGAGTTTGGGGTTTTAGAGTTTACAGATTTTAATCTTTTGCAATTCCAGCATTTGGGATAGTGTCTCTTAGGATTATGATCACCATCAAAGAAAAATAAACAGTTAAAAAAAAGTCTCTCTCTCACACCTACCCTCATGTCCCAATCAGGTAATCACTGATTCTTGCTCATTTTTCAAAGATTTTATGCTTGCACAAGTCAAGACAGATATTTATTGTGTGTTCTTCATTTACAAAAGTGCTAGCATGCCATACCCATCTATTGTACCTTGCTTTTTTGTGTAATATATCCAGAAGACATATCTATAGCAATATATACACAGTTCTTTGCTGTTTTTTTTTTAATCCCATAACATTTAACTTCAGGGATATGCCATAATTTACCAATTCTCTTTTGACAGACATGTAGACTTTCAGTCTTTTGCAATTAATCATTGATCCATTTGGAATTGATTCAACACATGGGATGAGGTGTGGTTCCAAATTATTTTTTTTCCAGTTGCCAATTTATTAGTCATTCATTGAGGTGTTCACTTCTAGACTCTGTCTCTTCCAGTGGTCTATTTATGCTCTACTTGCTGATGCAATTTAAATCTGGAAACATAAAAATCTTTTTTTTTTTCAGTACTGGGGCTTGAACTCAAGGCCTTCACCTTAAGCCACTCCACCAGCCCTATTTTTGTGATGGGTTTTTTCAAGATAGGATCTCATGAACTATTTGCTTTGGCTGGCTGACCTCCTGACCTCTATCTCCTGAGCAGCTAGGATTACAGAACTGAACCACCGGCACCTAGCAAGACATAAAATCTTGTAAAAGATAAATTTTCACACTTTGTTTAGATCAGTAGAAATCTTAGGACTGATATTTTAGCCCACATTAAGCAATGGTACAATACCATGTTGTGTGCATTTTCTATGGGCTAATTTTTATTTTCCCTTAGAAATCAATGAGTCCATGCTGATATAAAAATTATTAAATAAATGGGGAGAAGAGAAAGATTTACCTTAGAATAGAATGCACTGATAAACTTAGAGAAATAGTGGAATAATAAAAGTCACCAAGAAATATCAGAGGTTTCTAAATCTAGTGACTCCAGAATTCAGCACAGGGAGGGAAGCCCTAGGAGAGAGAAGGGAAGCAAAAGGAGGAAAAGCAGGAAGAAGGGAGGCGAGAAGGGATACGCAGGAAGGAATGAAAAAAAGATGGAAGAAAGGAGAGAGGTTGAAAAGGGAGGAAAAGAGGGAAGGAAGGAAGGTAAGAAGGAGGTAGGAAAAGAGGGAAGAAAGAAGGAAGAGAGGAGGAACAGGAAGGAAGGGAGAAGAAAAAGAGAGGGAAGGTAAGGAAGAGGGAGAACAAACCTGTCTTTGTATAATCTATATAACTTAAACACCTATTTACTCACCATCCCATCCCACCACTAAGAAGATGCCCTCCTCTGTTTCCAATTTAGCTGGACATAACTTCTTTCCTGGAATTTCAAGGCAAGTTTCAGAGTACACTAACTCTCACAGAAGGCAGTGACCCATGGTATAGGGCCACACACTCATTGCTCTGTCTTTGGTAACAGCACACCCTTTTGTACGTAGGAAGGTCTCTTCCCATGACCCCACCTCTGACAATGAGTTGTAGGGGGCTTCCCATCACAGAGTGTACTCCTAGCCTTGGGCATGTGAAGTCTGGAGCAATAATTGTTCACCACTCTCCTGGCCACATGACCTCAGCCAGGCCAGTCAGAATCCTTCTCTAGGAATCACTCCCCCCCCACCCCACCCCAGATTTCTTTTACCTCATTGACCAGGGTGCTATAAGTACATGGTCCTGGAAGTACTAGTGACCATGTTCCTCAAGTGTGAAGAGAATCATTTCAAGAGAAGAAAATGAAGCCAAGAAACAAAAGTAGAGATGAGAGCTAGCCATATCCCCAAAATCAGTGAAAAGAGAATTTCTTATATATATATATACTGATGTTTGCTGCAGCATTATTCACAGTGGCTAGAAGGTAGAAGCAGCCCATTTGTCCTTGAATAAACAAAATGTGATATAGTCATACAATGGAATATTATTCAGCCATAAAAAGGAATAAAAATTCGACACATATAGATAAACCTTGAAAACATTATGCTAAGTGATATAAGCCAAGTGTTAAAGGACACATACCATATAATTCTGCTTATGAGAGGTACCTAGAATGGGTGAGTTTGTAGGTACAGAAAGGATCATGATGGGTACCAGGGCTGGAGGAAGACAGAAATGAAGTTAGTAGTTAGTGCATGCAAGAGTTTTACATTTGGGTTGGTTTCAAGGTTCTGAAAATGGATAATGTGGTCAAATTTTCTTGTGATTTACCTCACTGCTGCTGAATTAAAAACTTAAGAGTGGTTAAACAGGGCAGGGTGAGGTGGTACATGCCTATAATCCTAGCAC